GAACCTTAGCAGCTACTTTATACCTTGTTTCTAAGTGTTAAAAATTGCAAGGGTAATAAGAAGAAATTAGCACCAAGTGGAGGCTTTCTAAGTGATGAGAAAAAACGGGAATTGGGTAGAAATATGGGCTGCTGCCATGGGCACTGTGGGAAGGGACAAGGCCACTGCAAATGGCTTCATGAGAAACACAGACTGACCTCTGTGAGCACAGGATCTCCTCGGAGGGCTTTAAACATCCATCCAACTGGATCCGGTGCCATGCTGCAGCTGCAGTGCTGCAGTCTAGTGCCCTGCAATGGATACTCCACTGTCCACGCGTAAAGTCAGCCTGGTGCTTCTCCTGGCCCTTGAGTGTTGCCTCGTGGCATGCACATCCCATGTGCATCTCAGATGTGATGCACTAAGGTACTTGTTCCCACTCTTTTTTCAGAGAGAAAACCGTGCACTGAAGAAGGCAGGCTTAAGTGTGATTTCCATTCCTGTTGGATGACCCCCATCCACAACCCAGGAAAGGTCTTCCTGTGCTTGGACAAGCCCGGCTGCCTGATGAGATGGTTCTTCTGTCATCATCACATCCGTGGTGGTCTAAGGTTGTCACCCTCAGTGCTGAAGTTAGAGGCATGTGCGAGCATGTGCACGTGTTCATGCGTGCGTTTGCTCATCCAGAGGACAACGTGTGGATTTGAGCCCTTTGATGCAATGGGTGGTGAGCTATGCAGCCAAGTGTGAGTGTAACATACAACAGGGTATTTTTAAAAAGCCGTGTAGCTGGAGGCAAGAGTGAGCACATTGTCTGGAAGCATTAGGTTCCTTTTATATTTGTGTCAGAAGAAATGTTCCACTCTGGTGCAGATGACAGAGTGGTAGTGAGTCAGGCATGGTTCCTTAGGAAGAAATTAGGGGAAAGCTTATAGAATCCGACAGATCTGCCTTTTCTTCAGTGGATGCAGAATTTCTGCTCGGAAATGCCCTATTAACTGCACTTGTCCAAGAAGGACCCATCCCTTTCTGTCGTCATTCAAGCCATGGTTCCTGATGTACATGGACAAGGTCCTGGCCCAGTCAGTGCCTCCCTAGCTGAACCTGACATCCAGTTTTGTCTCAAGTCTGAAATCTCATTTAGTCTTCGGTGCATAGCTTTGTCTCACTTAAATGACTGCATCGTCTTCTTGGCACAAATATTGTTCAGAACTGAATGGCAAACAATACCCTGTATTAATAAACGCTGCCACAGAGCAATAGATGAACCACCGGGTCAAAGTCTGATGGACTCTGCAAGGCAAGCACACACAAACGTGACGTAACTCCACATGGCTCTCTGCCCACCAGGTCATCTCTGTGGAAACCCGACCAGCTCCAACATGAATTTGCATGAGAACAGCAGCTGATAGGATCCAAAGGTGGCATTTGGGGATCCCCTCACCCCGATTCACATTCCCTTGGCTTAGCTGCATCATCATGATTTTGCAGGTTGTGTGTGTCTGGAGTACTTCATGCGTCACCCCCACCCATCCCAGGTACTCTAAATCACAGTTCTGTATTTTTTTTTAAAGATAAACTAACAGGGAAGAGAAGCATGTAAATATGTACCAATGCTTATGAAGTCGTTATTGCTTATATGTAAAAAGTACAGACGTAGACAGGAGAATGGCTCAGTGAATGTTTTAAAGAATATTCTATGAACCAAACTGTATTCTCACCCCTGGCATATTGCTGAAAGCACGTGTTTAGTTGGGACATCATTCTTTTTAGATATCATTGTTTTCATTCCTGTGTCATAGACACTGTCTTTTCACCTGATTACGAAGTCAGAACTGGGCTTTTGCCAAAAAAAAAAAAAAAAAAAAAGCAAATATGAGCATTTATCACTGATTCTTGTTAGCCAGTGCACCTGAAGGGTTCAAGCGCTTTTAAGGAAGGTGCGTTTTCTAAATCCCAGGTGTACCTTTTATTCCAAACAGTGGGCTGGACTGGATTTCCTCGAGCATTTGGGTTCTTGCTGCTAGCTCCTCAAACGGGAAATCCGTGCGTGAAGGCACCGCCCTGGTGAAGCAAGAGGAGGGACCCTGCAGTGCTGCTAAGAGTGTGTACTGTGATTGAGGCACAATCCTTCGTTGTATGTAGACAACACTGCATTAGCAGTTATCAACATGGTCACTCTGTGTACAATGCAGAACAACACAGTGTTTTTGTTTATCTAAGCTAGAAATCCATGTAAACTGTAGAGTCCTTTGTGGACGCCCATGGTGTCTGCCTTGTTTCTGTGCTCTAGAGTTCCAGTTGCTGACGGCCTATGGCTCAAGTCTCTGGCAGAATCTGTACCTTCAGGAAACCCGAGTGCCTTATGAGTCTTGTGAACACCAACTAGGAGTCAGGAGGGAGGGGCGCAGGGCGAGAGAATGGCTTTGAGGCATTGATAGTTAATTAGTGCTTACCATCACTCTGTCATTGAAACCTTACAGTGAGTTGTGTGTTTTAACACAGTGATGGATTTAAGTTTAGGCTCAGGAAAATCATATTGTGAATATGTATCACAGCATATATTTGTTTACTGTATCTTTTTTAGAAAGCTTTATTGTAAATTTATGCAAAAAGGAGAACTTGTTTTCTCATGGCAAAGCGCCAGGCAGTATTTGTGTTCTCTGAAACACTTCTTTAATAACCATATCCTAAACATGTGATCTCTGCTCAGTGCTAAACAGTATTCACAGACCTAAACTAGGTTTGTATGGTGATCAATTGATAAATTTTACACATATTTTTGTATTGTGGTTCCTATGACATATACCAGAGACTTTTTACTCCTTTGTAAATTGTTGTACAGTTTTAATAAAAATTGTTTTAAAACTTAGATGAAAGCCCCCTCCCTACTCTGTGTGTTATTAAAACTTGAATTTATGAGCCATCTTAGCCATTTCTATATTCATTCGTTAAACAGCAGTGCCTCTTTCCACACCAGAAAGGGAATCTGGGCCTTCCACCCACTGGGGAGGGGGGCCATGCCTCATTTGCAGCCTCATTCCCAGCCATCTAAAATCACCTGGAGGACAGCTCTGCAATCAGAGGTACCTGTTTGGCACCTGGCTGAGGCTGGCCATCTGAAAGGCCAACTCTGGTGAAGTTATCAAATGTGAAACAGAGGAGAAAGAATTCAAATACCATGGAAAGGGGAAGAAACTCTACACCTGAATGAGAATGGTTGGTGACATCTATTGTAGATGATCCTACACAGGTGAGTGAAGGAGGTTTTATGATCGGTTGGGGAGTGGGGCGCCCAGGTAGTATGAAGGCACAGGAAAGCTGCAGACTTGGCTCACTGACATGCTATGTCCTCCTGTTGAACCTGGGCTCTGAAGTGCCCCTGTGCTGACAATACAAAAGCTAGTCTTTTTGTTCAAACTCTATCGCTGCACGCTCCCTGGAGTGGCAGCATCGCCCTGAGATGGGCTGAGAGCTCCTCTGCCTTGTCTCACTGCAAATCTCAACCTCATCTTGCTGAGGATTCAGAGTCAGGGCCTCCCTGTTCCCCACGGCCCTCCCCAAGCTCCTGGAGGAGTGGCCGGAGTTCTGCTAGAAGGCGGCCTCTCCAGGAAGCTCTTCCCGCCCGCTTCCTGAGAATGGGGCGGGAGTCGGAGCCCACGCGTGTCCAGATGGCGTGCGACCTCACTTCCCAGGAAAAACTGCTCCCAGAGCCAGACTCGACGCGTTCAGCACCCACTGCGTGGACAGCGCCAGCTCCACGAGGCCGGGCGGGGTCGGGGGCCGCCAGAGGGCAAGGCTGTGAGCCCGCCCCATCCACGTGTCTAGCGCAGACCTCTTGCAGAGTGCTCAGGACACCTGGCCGCCCATCGCCTACTCCCGCCATGACCGCGGCTCGGCCACACGGGCCCACGAGCCCTCCAGTCCGGCCCAAGCTCGGTGGCGTCTTTCGCTGCGTGGAGGACGCCTTTGAGAACAAGTCTCTGCTGCTGGACGCGCCGCGCGGCTACTGCCAGGCTCCCGAGGTTAGAGAACTCCGCTGCGGGCTACACGGTCACTCGGAGTCACCCGGAGAGCCGGAAGGAGGTGACCTGGCGGCCACGGCCAGTCCTCGAGAGCAGCCTGGCAAGGCCTCGTCCTGTGGCCCTCAGCAGGTAGAGGACACAGAACCCGGGACGCGGGCGGAGGCGTCGGTGCGCGTAGGGCGCTAGCTCAGGTTCCCCGAAACGCCGCACACTCAAAGCCGGAGCCTCAAGGGGTACAGCGAGTCCGCCCTTTGCCTGTCTCGCCTGGACCTGTCCCGCCCATCCTGTGACCCGACTTCGGGCCCCGCCTCGCGGTCCCCCAGTCCATCTCCATGTCTCCGTATGCGTGTCTCTTTGTCTCTGTCTCTGCCTGCGTCTCTCCAACTGCCTGTGACCTCTCCATTCCTGTCCCGGGCTCCGCGCGGCTAGCCGAGGAGCAGCCTCGCTACCGCCGATCCCGTGGCTCGCGCTCCAGCCCCGGGCCGTCCGTGGACGAGCCGGGCTTTGGCCACAGACACCTTCGGACAGACTCCCGCTCCCGCTGCGCAGACGAGCCCCGGAGCCTGGGGCGCCCGGGGTACCACTGGGCAGGGCTTAGGCAGAGCCTTGGCAGGACATGGCCGAACTCTCCTCCTCCCCTTCCCAGGGCGCGAACTCCGCCTACGTCGGCCGGCACAGGTCGCAACCCTGCCCTCCCCGCTCAGCATCGCAGACCAGGGTACAGCGGTCACAGCTTGTGGTCGCACGGTGTCTCCAGCGAGGCTGAGGGGCGCGGGCGTGGGGGCGGAGCCTGAACGCAAATGAAGGCCCAGGGGCGGGACCTGAATGCAGATGCGTCGTCCCGGGGGCGGGGCTGGGGCGGGGCGGGGGCTGTGCGTTCAGCGAGCGCGCATTCGGACGCCCGGCGCCGGGCGTACAGGCTGGGTTCTGCGCTTGTCCTCCGCCCTCGCGCCCACGCTCGTGTAGCCCCTGCTGGGGTCTCATCCCGTTAGCGAGCAGGATGTCCTTCCAGGGCAAGAAGAGCATCCCTCGGATCACGGTGAGCCCGGTGCCCGCCCCCGCTTCCTACGGCCCCCATGCCCACCGCCCGGAGTGGGCCTGCGCGCGGCTCCTGCCCCCGCGCGAGCCGAGGTCCTGGCGCTAGTCCTTCCTCTCCGCTTCGTGGCTCGCAGCCGGCGGCCCCCCAGTGGGGAGCGGCGTACAGGCCCCGGCGGGCCCGCCCGCTCTCCAGAGCCTCCCCTGACGTGGGCTCCGAGAGGCCTGGCTTGCGAGGGGCCTGCGCCCCGGAGCGCTGGTGGCTCTGCTCGTCCGGGCCGGGCCGAGGAGGGGGAGGATCTGGTCACCGGCTGTGCCCCCGGGACGGCGGGCGGACGCAGCCTTTGTTGGCCCAGCGGGCCTGGGGCGCGGGATGCGGGTCCTGGCGCAGCCTGCCGGCCGCGGGGCCCCTGGACGCGCCGCTGCGAAGTAGGGAGCTCTTTGTCCGAGACAAAGCTATTTAGCCCTGGCTGCTCGGCCTGGGTCCCCTGGAGGCCCCGAACCCCTCCATGAAGCCGGGTTCTGAGGCTTCGCGGGAGGTGAGCACTCACTAACCACTGCCGGGGCAGCCCCAGCCTTCCGAAGGACATGCACCGTGCGGGAGGTCAGACTGCCCACAGCCCTGCCAGGAAACAAAGCCTGCCCACTGGGCAACCCCATCTGGGAGGAAGGGGGAGGGAAGAGCTGGACCATGGCAGGGAGTCCGCGGGCTCTCAGACCTAACTCCAGGTTTGTTCTCAGGAAGGCCTTAGCTCTGAGCCTTTTGGGGGTTCATTCCTTCCTGAGAAACTCAAGGAGGAAAGAGCCCCTCTTCTACCCGACGCGGGGGAGGGTCCTACCTCAAGTCTGCCCACTGCCCCTGGAGGTCCAGGCCTAAGGAGGAAGTCCCACCAGCCAGCTGGCACTAGGTAGAGCTCGCCGGGTGGCTGCAGGACCCTCCTGGGGTCTGCGGGGGAGGGCGGAGGTTTACCAGAACTTCCACCCCATCGTGATTGGGACCTCAGGAAGAGTATCCAGTACAGCCCAACTCGTTCCTCCGTCTTCTTTTTATTTTTGGTGGGACTGGGGTTTGAACTCTGAGTTTCTGCTTGCAAAGCAGACCTTCTACCGTCTGAGCTATGATTATTCTATTTATGGGAACAAGTCTCCAACCCATCCTCCCAATCTCAGCCTCCGAAGCGCTAGGATTACAGGCTGAACCACCCACTCCTGGCTAACTCATTCCTTCTGGATTCAAAACCCAAGAGGACCCCACAGTCCAAGTTCTGGTGCCTGAAAACTATAGATGTGAACAGGGACTCCACACTCTACAAGTCTCTCCCAGCCTAGTCTTCCTCTTTCTGGCCAGATTTTCCTGAAAATGAGCTGGTCCGTGGAGAGGTGGAGGAAGACAGCCAGGGGCCGCAGCCTGTCCTGAACCCTGGCTGTGGCAGCTAGGCACAGTGGGTGACTGTGGTGGGTCCAGGAAGAGCTGGTGCTCATTAGGGATGGGCAGTGGGTGCTAGGACTAGGAACACACTCAGCAAATGGCACCAGCATTGCTCTGTGCCCAGCAAGCTTCTGCCACAATGGGTGTCACACAGTACGTACTTTCAGCTGCATGGGCCATGTTGCTTCTGTCACACCTGTGGAGTCTTGGACAAGAAGGCTCATGATGTCACTCCAGATGGAGCTTATCTGTGGACACTGAAATGCTAATTTCATAAAATTTTTATGAGTCATGAAACATTCTTCTTACGGTTTTTTTCAACCAGTATGAAACTTAGAAACCATCTGTGGTTCCAGGCTGTATGCAGATGGGAGAGGATTGGATGTGGTGTGTGGAATAGTTTGTCAATCCTGTGAAAATCATGTTAGTGGGTTTACCATTAACCAGTAGAACACTGAAGTTTCAGCTGAGCGGTCTGAGGTCAGTGAGGACAGTGAATGAGGCAGTAAGGCTGTGCTCCACTGGCTCACAGAATTCTGCTTACTACACTTTCAGTTGACTGACTGTGGGGAAGGAGCCGGAAGCCAGGACTGGAACTCTGGGCATGTGGCCAGCTCCCCTGTTAAATGCAGACTAGTAATGGGAGGGAAAGGGCCAGCAGGCAGGTCTTACCACTTACACTGTACTGTGTGCTCTCCTCCCCTTTTCTCTTTGTTTCTCTCCACTGATGGATCGTCACCCCGACAGCCACATGAAGTTCCACCAGTGGCACCCACTTTCTGCCTAACTCCTCCTTCCTCACCATTTGGTAGCGTTCGTAGAAGTGGTTTCATGGCTGCCAAGCAATTCCTGTCTGCTGCCACAGGCTCATACGCCTCCAGGCTGCACCAGAGCTGTGGCTGCCTGATTTCTTCCTTGCCCTTCACCCCCATGGCCTTTCCATCAGCAAGTCCTGCCCACCTGACTCTCGAATCTGTCTCTCATTACTCATGCCCAAAACCCTGGTCCAGGGCCTCTTACCCGGACAGCCTTGGAAGACACCTAAGTATTCCCCTTGTTCTTATCGATCAGACCTTGATTTAACCTGCTTATGCCCCACCCCCAGCCCACTGACTATCAGAGACCTATGCTCCCACCTCTGTCCATCTCTGGGTCCTGCCCCTGCCCTTGGAAGGCTCCAGTTCTCAGTTTCTTCTGGGATTAGATATCAACTCAAAGTCTGTCCTGCCTCAGGGCCTCTGCACAGGCTGTTCCCAGGCCTGGAATCCCACCTCCCCAGTGTATCCCTTCAGAGAGCCCCTTCCCTATCCCTCAGGCAACCTGTCACGTCACCCTCCTTATACTCTTTTATATTTGTCACTGTCTGATGCGTGTCTTTTATTCCATCTCTCTCCTTGCTGAGCTGCAGCCTCCTGGGTAGGGGGCCATGCCTGCTGGGACTCTGCTTTACCCCACACCTCCTTGCACTGATGTAGGTCTGCAGCATTGTGGTGCAGTGGAAGCCCAGCTCCATCGGCTGCTGGTCCTTGGTACAGGTGGACACAGGGGTGGCTGACCAGCAGGCTCTCCAAAGTTGTGAGCTGGCTACCTCATCCTTTGGCCTAGAGTTTTCAGTCAGAGGATCAGTTCAAAGATGTAATTTCACCAACTTTGGCTTTGCCCTGCTGTCCTGTTCAGCCCTGTGCACTCAGCGACTCTGTGCAGTAGTACAGGGCTGCATGGGGTCTCTTGAGAAAGCAGTCTTAGGGTGTGGTAAACAGTGATGGGCATTTGAGCTGGGTTTTTTAATGCCTAATTGTTTCAGTGATAGTTCCAGGGAGAGGTGTTGAGTAACTCGTGTGAAGAAAAAGTATCCATCTCTTTGTTTGCACCAGAGCGACCGCCTTCTGATCAAAGGTGGGAAGATTGTGAATGAGGACCAGTCCTTTTATGCCGATCTGTATGTGGAAGACGGTTTGATTAAGTAAGTTTTTGCCCCACATACCTTCATAGGCCACATGTGTGCACGGTCTGTGGGTCGTCACACATGTGCACGGGATTACATGGTATGCGGTGAGTTCCTTTTGGGTGAAAGCCACACAGGTGCTTTCTTCTTTTACAAATCCCATCCCTGGAATGGCAGCATGGGGGCTGTGATTGAGCCCAGCCTGTGGTCATGGCTCCTCACAGGGAGTCACGGCTCCTCAGGAAACTGAGCGGCAGCTGCTGTGTTTCTTTACGCTACCACAGCACTTAGGAGAGCGTCAGGCTCACAGCAGGTGCTTCCTGCATCCTGACCACACCTGTTCACATCTCTGCTGGCTCTGCCAGGGGCTCTAGCTGCTGGTCAGTAAGGGCACAAGTAGGAACTCCAGTGGGAGCCAGGGAGGGAGCAGCATGTGTGTAGGGCTGGGTCCTCCGTGTTGCCTCCTGGGACACCTGATAGGAGTTTTGCTCTCTGGCCTCTCCAGGATCTTGGCACACAAGTGGCTAGCCACTCTGCCCCTTTATTTAAGGGCACTTGTTCTCAGCACCACTGCATGCCCTGGTCCACTCAGGTTCTTTTTTTTTTTTCTTTTTGATGGTACTGGGGTTTGAACTCAGGACCTCGTGCTTGCTAGGGAGGTGCTCTACCACGTGAGCCACACCACCAGTCCGCCTACTCAGGGCTTTCAGATCCAGGTTCCCTACAAATGGTGAAACCTTACCTTGTTGCTTTCAGACAAATTGGAGAAAACCTCATCGTCCCCGGGGGCATCAGAACCATCGATGCCCATGGCCTGCTGGTCCTTCCTGGTGGAGTCGACGTCCACACCAGGCTGCAGATGCCCGTGCTAGGCATGTCTCCTGCTGATGACTTCTGCCAGGGCACCAAGGCAGCCCTGGCAGGAGGGACCACCATGATCTGTGAGTGTCTGGGCCCCACTTCCTAAAGGCAGCGTCTGGCCCATTTGTGGGCGGTAAAAAGAGTTGTGCCGGGGGTTGTGGTCAGTTCTGTTTTCTTCCTTGTATCTTAGTGGGAGAAACAGGAGCTTTCTTCTGCTACCCCTCTCCCTCATTCTGGGTCATTTTGCCTTGGCCAGCTCTGCAAAGCTACTGGAATTTCTTTGAGAGCAAATGGATTTGGGCCCAGGGAGCTGGGAGCTGGGCCAGGGTCTGGGCTTTGGAAAACCCACACGCCTTGGACCAGGGAAGGGGTGTGCTATTTGACCCTGACCCTCCTGTTTCTGAAATGTGATTTGCAGAAAGTTCCTGCCCATGTTAAAAACTTGACAGTGGAGGCTGTGATTTTAGAGAAAAACAACAAAGATAGAATCATCATTATCCTGTAACAGCAGAGTTTCCATCTTTCAGAGCTGTGTGCCAGGCATGGCCCCGTCCTGACAGGCCTCAGCTCACAGCTCTGCTCCTGAGCTCAGTAGTGGAGCCTTGTTTTAACAGCTCGTGAGGGGCTCACTGAAGGGCCAGGACAAGACCCCAGTGCCTGCCCCTTCCTGTGCTCTGTGGCCTGGCGGTGCTGAGTCTCCACTCTGCTGTGGTCTCGAGTCTTGCTGTCCCTGGCTCCCCATGCTTGCTCTGTGTGATGCCTCCCTGATCTGCATGGTGAGGGAAAAGTGCATTCTTCTTACAGAGCCGGGAGGATACCGGAGTCACCGTGTGTGTGTGTGTGTGTGTGTGTCCCCACGGAGGGGGACTTACGGCACTTCACAGGTAATACTTAGCCATTGCCACACTCACAGCTTGGTTTGGCTTACTTAGTCACAAATTGAAGGAAAACCAACAGTGGGCCACCCTGAAAGTCGAACAGGAGGCTGGCCACCCAGGCCACCGCTGCTGAGGCAAGCACCATTGTAGCCCAAGACGGCCAGGACAGCTGCATTGTTGATGCCACCTGCTCTGTGCCAGGGATGAGGTGTGGACAGGAGATGCCTCAGGAAGACAGAGAAATGCCACTAACATGAGGCTGGAGCTGTTGGGAGTGGGCATCCACGCCCAGGGTCCTGACTCATGAGCTGAGTGATGGACACTGTGTCACCCACTGGGGTGGGTGACGTGGAGTTCCCTAGGGGCTCCTGTCTGGCTGCCCCACTCTGAGCTCTTTCCTGGCACACCCCAGGAGAGGCCAACAAGCAGTGTTTAGACCTAGGAGTCCCTACAGGGGCAAGGTGGCACTGTTCAAGGTGTGTGAAGCAGTGGGGCCCATGGAAAACTAGCTCAGTGTGGGGTGGTGTCTGGAGGTGTGCAGCCCAGCAGGGGCCAGTACCACGGACAGCGCACTGCTCTTCTTCCTGCCTTAACCTGTGCTGGAGGTTGGCAGAGCCCCAGCTGCCTTCGGCCAAAGCCACCTCTTGGGAGCAGCAGGTCCCGTTGGGAGTGGGGTTGTTTCAACTCGGGCTCCCTTCTCACCGAGGCTGGGGGACATGGGACAGAAGGTGCCTCTGAACAGTGCAAGGAGCAGGTGTGTCCCTCTTCTGCGTCTTCCTCACCTCCGTTTCTGGGAGGCAGTGGTAGGATTCAGTGACTGGGTGCGGGAGCCCAGTTGACTCTGCTGCACCCCACAGTGGACCACGTGTTTCCCGACGCGGGGGTGAGCCTGCTGGCAGCCTACGAGCAGTGGCGGGAACGAGCAGACCGTGCAGCCTGCTGTGACTACTCCCTGCACGTGGACATTCCCCGCTGGCACGAGAGCATTAAGGAAGAGCTGGAGGCCTTGGTCAAGGACAAGGGTGAGCGGCAAAGAGAGAGCCTGGGCTTCCCTGTTCTGCCTGGCCACCTGCCTGTGTGCTATATGGGAAGGAATCCCTTCCCTGGCCCCTGTGTCCTAATGTACTCTGCTGACCTGATCCTGAGGGTAGGTGTGCAGGGATTAAGTAGAAATCAGATAAAATCATTTAAAGTCCATTATGCTTGCAAAGACTCTGGGCTAGGAGTTCTTCTCCCTTCCAAGAGACATATCTTGTCATGGCTCTCCCTACAGAAGGGTGCAGTGACCAAGCTGTCCTTGGATTCTCCTGTTTCTTAGAAAAGAAACCACTCTGTGAAGGAGACACAGCTACACATTTTCCCAGTGCCTTGGGGAGATGGTTTTAAGCCCTGTGTCTCTGCATTGCTGCTTATACTGAAACAGACACGTTTATAAACTAGGATTTGCTTTGTGCCCATAAAAAGTCTTGAAGATAAAACCACATCAGAGTTTTCTAGTGGATTTAACAAGAATGGATGTGCTATCATCGAGTCTCAGGTGACATCCATAGGTCGCAGACTAGAATAGGTCCAGGGTATTGGGTAGACTCTGCTCAGTGGGTTGGGGCTATGTCCAGACCTTAGTAGTACCCACACAGGGACTGGTCCAGACAGGTGGGCTCGCTCTGCCTGCCTAGTAAATGGGAAAGCTTGTTCCTCCTCTTGCTTGGACCCCAGCTCCATGGGCAGTGGCCCCTGTTCCTTCTGCTTATCCTGAGAGCCCAGCCCTGAGGTCCGCTTGCCCCTCACAGTATGACCTGTGAGCTGGAGCATGGCAGAGTGGGACTCAGGCATTGAAGGCAGGTGACATTCCAGGTGGCCCAAGTGAGGTTCTTCCAGCACATTAGGCACAGGCTGTGTTTCCTATGGAGCGCAAGGCATCAAGTCCCTTGCGCTCTGTCCCTGCCAGTGGAGGGCCTGTTAGATAGGTGTGGGTGTTCTCACCTGTCTTCACCACTGGGTGAGTAATGATTCCTGAACCTAGGGCACAAAAAGCAGGGAGGGAGGGAGGGGCTAGGGTGCAATCAACTCAATCCATGTGTTCCCGCTTGGGTGGTGGAAGGGCATACCCCCCTGCAAGGTGGCCTTGCCAGCTGGCACAGCTCCCATGGGAGAAGGTTACCCCCGTCCTGGACCCTCTGGAGAGTGGGGAACAGTGAGGCTCCCTGAGTTGTCTGAGCCCCTCCTGACTCTCCTCTAGGTGTGAACTCCTTCCTGGTGTTCATGGCGTACAAGGACAGGTATCAGTGTACTGATGGCCAGGTAAGGGCAGGTGCACAGGGAAGGGAACAGGCAGGGGTGTCTTTGGCTGCTGCAGTGGTGCAGCCCTCCAAACACAGAACCCCATCTGCCTCTCTGCCCAGATGTATGAGATCTTCAGCATCATCCGGGACCTGGGAGCTGTGGCCCAGGTGCATGCAGAGAATGGCGACATCGTGGAGGAGGTGCCATGGGGGCAGTGCTGTGGTGGGGATGGGAGGGGCGTGACCTTGATGATAGACCCTCAGAACCTCCAAGGAGGAACAACAGCCTGGAGGACTGAGGCCACCATGGATCAAGGCCCTTGTCCAGGAGCTGAGTCCTTGTTTTCCTTACTACCAGCAAGTGCGGTGTAGGCTTAGTGGCTGCATCCTTCAAACACATCCCAGGCAGCCCTGGGCCTGTGAGGTGGGGCAGTCCCATCCCCTGGGCCAGTACTGTCCCCTCTGGCTGAGGCACCCCAGGGTCTGAGAAATCTAAAGAGCTTAGGAAAGCCATCCTCCAGCCTCAGTGGGGGTCACTTCACACAGCACACCTCACTGATGTTCCAAATTCATGAAGACTTCTTGGGTTGGGTCAGCCCTGCCCTGCTCCAAGTTCAGCAGGAAGGCAGACACTCAGGAAGGAGTAGGTGGGGTCCCTGGTGTCCTGTCCACCTGTTTGGCCTCAAGGGCATCAGGGCACTGAGTACACCTTCAGGCAGGCCTGGTCCACAGTCAGGAGAAAGTCGTGCCCAGCACACTGGTAGGCAGAGCATGTCAGGGCCTCCCACCATGTTGGGGCAGCTCTTTGTCCAGGTCTGCTTCCCCCACATTCTTCATGGCACAGCTGGTACCATGTCTTCCTTAACACACGAGGGAAGCTGCAGCACACTTCTTCAAGGACGAAGGTGCCAACCCTGACCGTGCAGAGACCCCTGCTCCTGTGCTCACATCCACACATGCCTGCTGGGGGAATGTTACAGGGGTCTCAGCCTGTCAGTCAGGAACCTTTGGCTTGAGCCAGCCTCTCCCTCTCCTCTATGAGTTTTCATAGCTGGGCCATTCTGGGAGGCCTGGAGGCCCAGGGCTCTGCCAGGCAGCAGGGCCTGTAACCATGGACTTTATACCAGCTCCCCTCAGGGCTGGCACAAGATGTCCTGTTGGTTTATTAGGAGCAGAAGCGGCTGCTGGAGCAAGGCATCACCGGCCCCGAAGGTCACGTGCTTAGTCACCCTGAGGAGGTGAGTCTGGCCAGCCCACAGGGCCATTCAGACTTCGTCCCCAGACTGCCACTGCCATCGGGGACTGAGCTCACCAGCTCTGGCTTTGTGGCCTGGGCAGGGGTGCGTTTACTCTGCCCTCACCCAGGAGCTGTAAATCAACAGACCCTCCACTGCTAGTCACGTGCCCCTATAACCACTGTCACCCCACAGCCTAGGTCAGGCCCTGGGGACTGTGGATCTGCCTGGGTGTGGGTGCCAGGCACTGAGTCCGGACTGGGCCCTTTCCCTATCAAAGATGCTCCTATATGCTGGAGTCCTATGGGTGGCCCATGGGCATCCCAGAACCCACACTGGTCAGGAAGTCCTTGTGGCATGAGTGCTCACTCCCCTCACCATCCCCAGGTAGAGGCTGAGGCTGTGTACCGAGCTGTCACTGTTGCCAAGCAAGCCAACTGCCCACTGTACATCACCAAGGTGATGAGCAAGGGTGCAGCTGACGTGGTTGCCCAGGCCAAGCGCAAGGGTGAGTACGGCCCTCACCTCCCCACATGTTCACAGCCTCCCAGAGCTCTGCCCACTAGGCAAGGCCCTCGGGTGGTGAAGAGGGCAAGCCCAATGGAAGCCTGTGGCCTAGCCCAGCCTCTCTGCAGGACATCTGCTGCCTGGGTTAGACCCAGGGTGCAGCAGAGGGAAGCACAGGTACCCTGAGTCCCTCCGAGGAATGGGGCTGGACTCCAGTCTCCAGCCTTAAGGGAGCAGCAGCTGTCCACCAGAGGCCCTTGAAGCCTACTGTAGGCATACTGGTGTCTATCCACAGGAGCCAAGGGCAGGGTTGGCTAAGTGTGTGTGTCTGAGAGAGAGACTCCCTCCCTAGGAGGCCCCGTGTTCACGTTTGCCATGGTTTTAGAAGCCAGGGTGCATATCCCAAGGGCTGGGGTGTTCCTGCCCACAGCACACTCAGCCAGCTGAAGTTGGGCACATGTGCCCTGGCAGGTGGTGAACCATGTAGCCCCAGATAGGCTGCTTAGCTCAGAGGGTCAGTGCAGCCCTAGCAATCACCAGGGTTCTAGAGAGGGCCCTGGGTCAGGGCACAGGACTGAGGTGATGGGCAGAGGGTGACAGGGTCTGCAGAGACCAGCTAAGGAGTTGTACCCTTCCCCCAAGAAGCTGCTTTGTGGCAGGGCAGCCCCATCCCACCCTGAGCCTGGCATTTCTTTCTGTTCACTGTGGGAGCTGCCTCAGCCTGGGCCAGAGCCCTGGAGGGGGTCCAGGACTGGTCAGCCTTCGCACCAGTAGCCCGTGGGTGGGCAGTAAGTTGTCACATCTCATACAGTGGCCCAGCTGGCGTGCCGAACCCTTAGGATAGGCCATACACGTGGAGCTGATCCATTGTCTTACCAGCTGATGCAGACCCTGTCCCTGAGGGGCCCCAGAGCTAATGACTGGCCTCCTGGCCAGAATTAGGAGCCCCTAAAGGGGGGGACAAGCTGTACCCAGCCAAGAAAGCAAAGGGCATTGAAGGTGTTGGCAGTGGCAGCGCAAGGCCTGCATGTACTCTGGGCCTGGGTGTGCACACGTCAGCAGGTGGGTGCCTTTCATGGGCCTTGCTCACTGCAGGGGTGGTTGTGTTTGGGGAGCCTATCACTGCCAGCCTGGGCACTGACGGCTCCCACTACTGGAGCAAGAACTGGGCCAAGGCTGCAGCCTTCGTCACCTCACCCCCCATCAACCCGGACCCCACCACTGCAGACCACCTCACCTCCCTGCTGTCCAGGTGAGCAGCCACTCTGCAGAGGCCCATGCCAGCCCACGGGCTCCACACGTGCCCACCACACCTGTGCCTCCTCTGCATGAACCCTGGGCTTCTGCAGAGCAGGGAGACTGGGGTGGGGAGGGAGGTGCACAGCCCTTCAGTCCCAGTTGGGGCTTCACACGCCATGCCCTGCCTCTTGACGCCCCCCAGCCCCCACCCTGGGGTCTGTCCACATCCTCCCTCCCTCTTCACTGGAGCACCAGCTCTAACTAGCTTGGACCTCGCACAGCCCACGTGACTGTGCTGTCGGGCTGGAGATGCTCCAGCCCTTGCCAGCTCAGGAAGGCCAGCCTCTGAGCTCCTCTGACCTTGGCCTGTTCCCAGTGGGGACCTCCAGGTGACCGGCAGTGCACACTGCACCTTCACCACTGCCCAGAAGGCCGTTGGCAAAGATAACTTCACGCTGATCCCTGAAGGCACCAATGGCATCGAGGAACGTATGTCTGTAGTCTGGGAGAAGTGTGTGGTGAGTTCAGTTCTGGTGGCCCAGGCACTGGGAGGGGTGCCAACTCTGAGAGCAGCGCCCTCCCAGCCCGAAGTGCTCCTGAGGTAGAGGCTGGGCCCCACCCCACCCCCAGCTCAGCCTGGCCATCCAGGGTCCCTAGACAAGTGGTCTGACCCCTCTGGATGAAACTCCTACTACCACAGGCTGCTGCTGCCCTCCCTGCGGATTCTGATGTCATGTTCATAGGTCGAAATGTCACACTGCCCCATAAATATGGACAGGTAGTAAGTGTTGGTTAAAAATTTTAAGAAGAATGTATTTATACACCCTGGTTAGTGAATGCAGAGCCTTGTCCTCTGTGGCACGACTCTGTGTCCCAACCCACTGGCCCTGCCGGGGCTCTTCCCTCAGTCACCCCTGCCTCTCCAGGTCCCTCAGGACACAGTGCTATGACCAGAGCCATGCTGTCTGCCCACAAAGAAAGCTGAGAAGCTGGGCAGTATCCACAGGAGGGGTTACACTGCAGCCCTGCCTGGCCACGGTCATTAGTGCCCCAGCCTGGGTTGGCATTTGTTACACCGGGATGTTGCCCTGAGAGGCTGTCTTTGGAAACCCCTCCTGGACGTGGGCCACCCTAGTGACCAGATGCTGCTCCGTCCCCTCACACGGCCTTCTTGCTTCTCAGGCCTCAGGGAAAATGGATGAGAATGAGTTTGTCGCAGTAACCAGTACAAATGCTGCCAAAATCTTTAATTTCTACCCGAGGAAGGGCCGTGTGGCAGTGGGTTCTGATGCCGACCTTGTTATCTGGAACCCCAGGGCCACCAAGGTCATCTCTGCCAAGAATCACAACCTGGTAAGAAGGCACTTCCCTCAGTAGGGCCTGACCTGGGCCCCAAGGATCTTTCCCAGAGAGTTCCAGGGTTGGGGACCCCTGTCCACACCCCCATCTCAGCTCTCAGTGGCCTTGGCCCATCCCCAGAGACATCCGTCCAGCAATCTCAGCCCAGGAGCTCATGTTTACTGCCCCTAAGAGGTATGTGCCCAAGGCTGCCACCCCATCCTACAGGAGACTGAGGCAGAGGGCACTGCCCCTGCCTAGGCAAGGACAGGTGGCCTACTTGCTCTGCAACCTTTGTCCTTATGAGAACAAAACCGAGGGATGCTGGGTAGGTTGAGGCCTGGCCGCCCCAGCTGCATCTCGTTGGGGTCATGGGCCTCCTGCAGTGCTGGTTGGCCGAGAGAGAGTCCTGGTGTTGGGACAGGATCAGGGCTGACAGGCTCTGGCCCTTGTTGGCTTCTCTCTCCAGAATGTGGAGTACAACATCTTTGAAGGTGTTGAGTGCCGAGGAGCCCCCTCGGTGGTCATCAGTCAGGGCAGAGTCGTGCTGGAGGACGGAAACCTGTTCGTCACCCCTGGAGCTGGCCGTTTCATTCCCCGGAAGACATTCCCGGACTTTGTGTACAAGAGGATAAAGGCCCGCAACAGGGTAAGGGCCTGACCTGTTGGGGTCCTCACATGGGTGGCGGTTGTGGAGTGCTCTGTCCTGGGTGCAGGGAGTTCTTCCATGTGAGGTTTTGCCTCCTGGTTGGTCTGGCCCTAGTCCCCTAGATGTTAGGAAGGCAGTGTAGGGGGAGCAGAGCCTGCTGCAGGGGAGCAGGAGGACTGGTCATGGGCCTGGGGCCTCCTGCACCCGCCACCAGCTGCCAGTCACTTCGTAATGGCAGTGTTGGATGCTTCCTGTAGCCAGTAATGCAGTTGCTACAGGAAATGTGGATGTATACTAAAGTCCCCACCTAACCTGAGAAAATCACAAAGGTGTTCCTGCAGACCTTTCAGGAGTTCTCCTCCAATAGAACTTACAAGTCGTGAGCACTTTTCATCAGCTTCCTCTCCTCCTGTGGTCATTTGCCATGCTTGTCTGTCATCACCTATGTCTGATGTGTCTGCCATCGATGCATTTCACACGCACAGGCCCATGTCGCCCCCGTGCACACCCATGCCCACGTGTGCACACAGTGACCACACACAGGTCACTTGGTCCCAGTTCTCCCTGAGGTGAGGGCTGGGCGCTGGCTTCCCCCTCCACAGTAGGAGAGTGACATCTGCACTACTTGCATAGACCTGCCTGACCAGGCTGTTGAGGCTTCACAGTTGTTGGCCTAGATCTTAGAACCGCTTTTCCCCCAACTCTGGGTTTGAGCTGGTGAGGGGCACATGTCCTCTTCCCCCTTTCTTGGGGGTGGGCAGGGCAGTAATGGGGACCCTGGTAGGAGCTGCAGCACAGCAGCTCTGTGAGAGTCAGAGGAGGGAAGGGAGGGTGAGGGGGGCTGCATTCAGTTTGCCTGAGTCCTCACGACTCTGCTCCATGCTGGCTTGCTGTCGTCTGCTCAACTGTAATCTTCCTGGGTTTAGTCAGCCCTGGTCATGAAGCTGACCCAGGATCCTGAGGACAGTGCCAACAGGAAGCACAGGCACATCCGAAGGTCATCCGTCCTTGTTGGTTCTCTGGGAACTGCCTTTGGCTTTGGGGGCCATTTTCAAGGAAGACAGGACCCAGAGCCTCATCTCAGGGCTTCCTCAGGGCCATTCTTGGGGCCTGTTTCCAGTTCCAAATGAGACTTCTGTGCAGGTGGCCTTCTCTGTGCATGGTCCTCTAGCTGAGGAGCTGCTGGGTATATGTGTGGGGAACTGCCAGGAGGGGACAGGTGCACAGGTGTGTAGCAGTGACAGGGTGAGTGTGCACACATGCAGGCAACTGTGTGTGCAGGAAGGAGCCAGAGGAGGAAGGCGTGTGTGCAGCAGCATGGGCTCCTCCACTGGAGGGGAGCCTGGCATTCCTGAGCAGTCAGAGTTGGGGTGCAGAGCAAGCAGGGTGCCACTCCCCAGGTGCTCAGCAAGCTCCATCTCTCACACCCCACCTCCTTGGCCCCACAGCTGGCAGAGATCCATGGTGTGCCCCGAGGCCTGTATGATGGGCCAGTACACGAGGTGATGGTGCCCGCCAAGCCGGGAAGTGGCACGCAGGCTCGCGCATCATGCCCTGGCAAGATCTCAGTGCCACCCGTGCGTAACCTGCACCAGTCAGGGTTCAGCCTGTCTGGTAAGTTGAACCTGGAGCTTGGGGTTCCATTGCCAGATCCTGAGGGGCAGGCAGTCCTTCTGGGGCCACAAGGTCTTAGGTACTGGAGGGCTCTGATCTTGGCTGGAGACTTTAGGGCTCCCGCTGCCCACACGACAGTGACCGAGCAGGGGCTTTGGGCAGCCAGTGTGGGGGCTGTGGGGTGGGAGATGCTGACCCTGGTGAGGGGTCCTGTGAGGAGCAAAGAGGGGATGAGTTCTCGCACCCTTCCTGCCCCAGCGTCTGCCCCCAGACATCAAACCTCGACTCAAGCATGTTGGGCAGGGCTGAGCCCAGGGCTAAGCATGGAAGAGAGGGGCTCTTCTCTGAAGGGAATTGGGAATCCTGTGGGAATCCAGCTCCCCCAGCCCAGCCAGCCCAGTCACTGGTGAAGCATGAGGAATGGGTGCAAGCTACGTCCACACCTGACCCAGGAGGGTGCACACCACCAGAGGTGGGCCTCCAGGCAGCTCTCAGCTGCACTTCGAACTGGTCCCAAGCTGAAGTGCTTCCAGAGCCCTGAGCCCCAGTCCTCCCTGCCAACCAAAGCCAGACCCTCTCTCTCTTGTGCCCCTGTCCTTGAGTGGGGACCAAGCTGCTCTGATATCCTGCTTGGGGAGGTGATGACAGGCCCTGATCCTGGGTGCACAGGACCAGGGACAGGTCCCTCAGCATCCAGCACTGTCTTGAAGCTGGGGCAGCCTTCTTTGTCACATGGACCACAGAGGGTGAAGGAGGACAGGAATCCTGGAGGATCGGCCTTGGACCTCAGTCCCCACAGATCATAGGGATCCATCAGGCCCTTTCCTGATCTTTTGAGGACCTTTCAGAGCCTCAGGGATGGGAGAGCCTGCTTGGCACCCATGGCCATGGGGAGTGAAAGTGATTGTGGTGCACATGTGTGAGGGTGTGTGGGTGGGCTCTGCAGTCCTGGTCTCACAGGTGCTTTTTCCCTGCCTGCCCTCCTGCTGATAGATCAGGTCCCATCACTCCCTCATTCTCCTTTCCACACCCCTTCCCTGCCCTTCTTCAGGGTCTCAGGCTGACGATCACATTGCCAGACGCACGGCTCAGAAGATCATGGCACCCCCCGGTGGACGCTCCAACATCACCTCTCTTTCCTAGACCTCTGGGATTTGGGGTCCACCAGTGGGTAGCATGGGGTCAGCTCACCTCAGATAGCTCTTTCCTCTGTAGAAGTTACTTTGAAAGGTGCTTGACTTTGCCTTCCCGTCCCCCACAAGCTCTCCTTTTGGGGTCTTAGATCTTGCTATAAGGAGCCTCAAGAGTGCTGAATTTGGAGAGTTCACTGCCAGGACAAGGAGGCTAGATGTGGCAGCAACAGCTCAGGTGGCCCCCAGCCCAGTACTACGGGCAGCAGCACCTTGACCTCAGTGTGACGGTGCTTCATCACAGGAGAAACTCCACACCTTGAGCTCGTGAGCCTACGAGGTTCTGGGTCCAACCCAGGGGGAGTTTGCTGCCTGCTCCCCATTAGGAATCACTGCCCACGGAAGCCCCAGTGCTTCCACCTGCTCCATGGCTCTAAGGTGCAGCCACCCCCGTCACCCTGTCTACCCTGGTGCAGGGGGGCAAGTGTGTGAGCAGAGCTGCTGTGACTTCAGGGATCCACCAACCAGGGACTTAGCATAGGGCAGCTCCCTTCCACATAGGGACTTTGTACACACTTCTAAGGACCAGCCTGAGCTCTTGTAGCAGCCCATCTCCAGGAAGTTTTAGGATCCTTTAGCTAAGACACCCTCCTTTTACTAGGAAATGTGTATTTCCCTGTTGATTAGAGTAGCAGTTTTGTACAGTGCGGAAACCATAGCCAGGAACCTGCATGCTGCTGCACCGAACGGCAGGTTGTCCAAGCCTGATGTCGGGTCAATTAAAGATGTCTGGGTTAGAACCTGCCTATGTGTGTACAGCCCAACTTCTCTCCCTCACATCATCCCCCATGAACAGTAACCCTGCCCTGGCTGAGTGTCGTGAGAGCCACAGCTGGCCACATCCAGCAGCACAGCCTCTGTGCCAGGGGCAGAGCTGGGTCTGAATGGTGGTAGAGACTCTTCCTCTCAGGGAAGGGTCACAGGGGTACTGGCTGTGACACATAGCCGGGTGGTCACAGGGAGGGTGTCCATGCCCATTCTAACGACCCCCAAAATCTGGGATGGGGAGGCACATGGGGAACTACGAGGCACAATTTGCAGTCAGCAGCAGGTGTGAGGGCAGCCCAGGTAGGTGCCACTCACAGCGAGGCCCAGCCTCTTATAAAGATTGCTCTGCTTCTGTGCTCCAGGTGTAGGATATCTTCCCTCTAAGAACAGGGAGGTCTCTACCTACACCAACCACTTAGGCCCATCCTGGGCATCCATTCTCAGTGGTGGCCAAGGAGCGTTTCCCTAGGGACCACTGCTAAGCAGCTTGAGTCTGGGCTCCTCAGAGCTGCACTGGTCCCTGCACACCCCAGGAGGAGCCTATTCTGGTGGCCCGGTGACTGCTTCTGGGACCTTCTCTGGCCCGACTACATTTGATCATTTGGAGTTGTGGGGCTGTGCCCAGCTGATGTCCCCCATGCCAGCATCCCACCAAGGAGAGAAGATAATCAAGGGAACTGGACTGCACCTACATCCCTTCCCAGCATGGCAGAAAGGACAGGTGCACCGTCCCACCATGGCCCCAGAAACTCATGCTCGGATTTGCACATTTATGCAAAACCCCCAAACTCCCTCATCATATGCCTGGTACCACCAGGTTCCCACCCAGGCCGTGGCCAACCTGGCCCTCTCTGGGGCCTGAACACCTGGCTGGGACTGCACTACCTTTCCTGGTCGTGACTTGGGCACCATATTCCTCCTCGTATGTACACCATGCTGAGGAATGGCCTCACTGAGGGCCCATTGGTTAATCCCACCATGTCTCAGGAGAAAGGCAGCCAAGGGCCCATGAGCTGCCCACTCTGTCCTGCAACTTCCAGCACTGCCTCTAAAATAGCCAGTTCTCCCTCAAGTATCCTGTGGTCATTTTGGCCCTTTGTCACTTCTCAGCTTGGCCAGGCAGAAAGGCAGGAGTGGAGCTGAGGCTTCAGACATAGACCTGGTCACTTTCACAGTGTCTGGGGTAGCTGCTGACCTGGGATGGCCACAAACATGGCTCAGCAATTCCCCCAAGCTACCCTGTGCAGGCCTGTCTGGAGGCCTGAGCTGGTGGGGACCAAGCCTGTCCTCCCTCGGGACAGGAGAGACTGGTGCAGTCCACTTATGCTGAGTTACCTGACCACTGGGTAGCAGTGAGGTGTCCATGCCGGCCCTGCAGGGGCCATACCCCAAGGTTCCTTGGCCTCCGGTGCCATCTCACCTTACTTTGACCTCAAAGTTGTCCTCAGCAGCCCCACTTCTGCAGTCTGTGTGAGGACAATCCTCCAGGGCCATGGTCCCAAGGCTTGGTCTGACTTTACCCCAGCAGGATCTGCCCATGGGACCACCCAGCTGCCCAAGCCCAGACAGGCTTTCTTCACGTCAAACCACAGGCACTGAGTCCCCAGCACCCTCAGACACAGAACACAGCCACAACAGATTAGTTCTTACACTGTAATTCTCAGAGGTGAAAACTATTCAGAAACACAGCAGAAATTGCCGGAACGGTGTGTATCGCTAGAAAATGTTCTTGGTCTTCCCACCCGTCCCTCCCCCCACCCCTACCTTTAATGAACAAGAACCCAGCAAAACCTGAGCCACTCCCACAGCCTTGGGCAGCAAGCTCAGAGGTGTGGGCAGCTGTGGCAGGGCCTGGCAATAAGGCTATGTACAGCCAAGTCCAGAGGGACCAGAGGGCCTCAGCAGCTGCCCACTGTGCTGCCCCTGGCCACCATGACCTGCCAGCCAGTGGCTAGAGGACCTGGCCAGTGCAACCCATGAGATTTCCTCCACATTACAGGTTACCGGGGCCCAGGTGGCAATGGACCTCCTTGCCCGACCATCACCCTGGACAGGCACACAGTTCCTGCCAGCCTTGCCACACTGGCAGGGTCAGTGGTCAGGGCCTCGTCCCACAGCCTCCTCCCTCTGGCTGACCCAAGTCTCCAAAGCAGCCTGAGAGTTAACTATCCTCTGAAATTGCCCATGTGGCCTAGCTGCTACCAGCTGAGGGGCAGATGGAGCCACACATGGGCAGGGCCGAAGGCTCCACCTCACTGTCCGTCGTGGGCTCTGCCACATCCATGGTCTCGGGGGCCGGGAGAGGCTCGTTCATGAGGTCCTGGCTCCTCTTCAGCCTAAAGGGATGACAAGGGGATCTGTGCAGCCCACTGCCAGGGCATGGCCTCGCCAGCAGCCCGAGGAGCTGCTTACTGAACCCACGAGCTGTCCAAGGACTCACGTGCCTCAGGGATGTGGCTGGGGTGCCAAGTGCCTAGCGTCTCCCAGTTTGGAAGCCCTGCTCCAGGACATGCCGGGGACCCGATGTGGGGGGTCAGGGGCGGCTCAGCCTATAGCATACTTTTGACTGATGTGCATGGAATTCTTCCGGGCCTAGGGCAGGAGGCTGGTGAGTCTCAGATCACATTAGCCAGAAACTAAGGAAGGCCATACTTAGCACCCATGCCAGAGTCAGCAACCTTGGAACAAGGCTTTCCAAAGAACTTGGCCAAGCCATTCTTCACCCTGTCCTCTGACCCTAGGGTGGGGTCGCTGCCTTCAGCCAGCCTTATACTGTCCTGAGCACGTTTCCCAGACTGGTATAGAGCTACTCCTCTGGAACGATCTCCCTCCTTACCAGGATTGGGGAGTCTTGGGCCCCTCTCCAAGGTAGGTGGTGTTAGCTGTGTGTGGCTGTCTTACCCCCATGACCCACCTGTGCCCTTTCTGTCCCATCTGTAACTGACTCAGGAAGGTTTGCTTAGTGAATGAGAGTGACCAAGTGGCAGGAGCTGATGTGAGACAGGACCACCCCAGAGATCAGAAACCCTGCTTAGATCTCCCAGGAGATCCTGGACCCCAGTCCCACATCCATCTAGGTTTCCAGGGAGCCCTCTAGAGGAGCCAGGGCAGGGGCCTCCCACCTCTCCCCTTCATGGTCACGGCCTGTTCTCCCCCAAAGACAGCAGGAGCCTGGCATCACAGGCCAGAGGCCGCATGGCTGCTGGGGCCTTGGCTTGTGTGTCTTTGCTCCCACTGACTCACCCCACACACACTCACTTTTCTCTGTTAAAAATCACGAAGTCCTGCTGGATGGCGTCTAGACAGTCCTGAAGGTAGTCGTTCTCCTGTGGACAGAAGGGCATGCGAGTGACCCATACAAGATGCCGCCAGGGCGGCTTTGAGCACAGCTCCCAGCACTTGCGCCATGCTCTGGGGAAAGGCGTTCGGTCTGCTGAACGATCTCTGCTCTCCTGGAAGTGTTCAGTGTTCAGAGGTCCCGTCCCCGGCAGCCTGAGCACAGGCCTCACTGAAGGCCGTCAGTTCTGAGCGTCCCACTTCAGAGAAGCTGAGCTCAGCCTTGCAGAGTGACTGCCGAGGCCCCGCAGGAAAGGAGTTGCCCTCTGAAGCTTTGGGACTTGAGAACTTTTTGCATGGGGCTGACCTCAAACCATGATCCTCCTAATCTCTGCCCCCTGGGTGTCTAGGATTACAGGTGTGAGCCACCACACATGCTGGGTAGGGTTTAAAATGATGCAGGGAAGCTCTTGGACACTTGGAGGGAATCAGGCCCAGGCTAAGATTCCAGATCACCCTCGGCAGAATGCCGAGGAGGGACGGAAACCTCAGCGGAGGCTGGAGATGAAAGACCCACAGCCCTACCAGATGGCCAGAGGACATGCTTCTCAGCAGGGTGTCGAGGAATGAATGGGGAGGGGGCGCTAGGATGGAGACATCTTACAGGACCAAGCCCCCCGTGTCCCAGGTGGTGGTGAGTGCCTGAGACGCAGAAGCCCGGCCACTCACCTCACCTGTGGAGGAATGCAGGTGACCTGCACTAACAGTGGGGTAGCAAGTGGGATCTGTGATGATGACCAACAGAGCCCGGGGCTCCTGGAAGACAGAGATGGACACCAGTGTCCACACACAGATCAAGGACAGGTGGACAAAGATGTAGCTGGGAAGTCTGCCTGCTTTTCCACACTCAGACCTACAACCACCATCTGAAGGAGGAGCGGGTTCCCTGTGAGGAGGGCCTGGCTAGTCCACACACACTGCCCTCCACCAGCGGCCATTCCACGTGGGAAGGACACGGGACCCACAGGCTCAGTGACCACAGATCCTCCCGTGCTCCCCTCCCCAGTGCCGAAGGATGGAGAACTGCGTGCTTGGCACAGCCCCCCTCTCCTCTCAGCAACTTGACCTGTGGTGATAGCTGTCATGCTGGGGAGACAAGAGACAGGGAGACCTTGGCCAGATGGTAAAGTTTGAGCTATTCAGATGAATTAGTTCTGGAGCCCTGGTGTACAGCGAGCACGGTGACAGCAGTGCTGCAGTGCACGGGAAACCCACGGAAAGGACAGATGTTGAAATTAAACCTCACCCTACACAGCACGCACACGGTAATGATGAACTGGGGCGCGCGTTAATCAGGTGACTGTGGTGGTTATTCCACAGTGACTGCCTGGATTTCCACATCAGGGTGTACACCTGAAACGTGTACAGTTTTTATGTCAGTGGTAGCTCAGTGAAGCTGTTAAAGTAGTGGAAAGGTGCAATGAAACCTTCTGAAAGTGCACCCCTCCTAACAAACCAGCCGAGTGGAAAACATTGCACCCCGGGTGCAGTGACGGATGAGGGCCGCAGTCAAAGTCTTTCTTTACCTCTTCCAACATTTAGGATGCAGGAGTGGTAGGGCCATTTTTTTCCAATTTAACTCGTAAGTCTGGTCCTGCAAGAACCAGGTGGATGGTGGCAGATGAAGGGAGCTTGGCCACATTTGACCTAATACTGGCTCCACTGAGCCAGGTATAGTGGAATAGACCAATGGGGTCTCTCATAGGAGGCATGTGGCCTCTGAGGTGACAGACAGCCTCCTTTCAACACCCATCAGCAACCAGTATCAGAAACATCCTAACATTCACCTGAGAAGGACATTAGTGTACTTTTGTGGTCCTGCTCCTCTTGTCCATCGTGATACAGTCAGAACCTCCATCCCTCAACATTCACTGTTATCCACTCTACTGCCAGCATCGTGCTAGATCTGGGTGAGGAGAAGCGCACGTCCTCCGGATGCCTTGCGAATCACACATCCAAGAGTGCGGGAGACGAAGCACACAGTTGCTCCCGGACGGTGTTGTAGGGATCTATCTGGTGATGAGGTCCTTCCATGGTGGAGGATATTACTACACTGTGACCTCCTCCACCAGGAAAGAAGCATAGGACCTGGAGGTTTCTTTGTGTTCTGGAAGCTTGAGTTTTCCCCATTCTGAGCAATGGTCTCCTGAGGGCTCCCCTGGATGCCTGTGTCACCCCAGTTTTTCACAGCTGCCCTGTGGAGTTCTGCAGCTGTGCTGCTTGATCCTTTCTGGTGGTTCTGCCTCCAGTCTCAGGGGTTTTTCTCACCATACCTGCAGCAGGTACCTGGCGGAAGGCTCGAGGGGATCTTTCTGGAGAGCTCCGGGCTCTCTGTTTACAGCTCCCTAACTCTCCTTTCCAGCATTTTGGTCTGTCACTGTGGCCATCCTGAAAGAAGTCAGCATCCCAGTAAGGGACAGTCATCAGGAAAAGGTTGGGTTCTGTCCCAAGGCAGGCAAAGTAACTTATCTTGCTATGTCTTGTTATTCCCGGCCTCATTCTGATGACCGGCGGATTGGTGCACAAACACTGCTCTGAGAAAGTAATGGTGACCAGAGGTTTGTGCCACTGGGGGATGAAGGTCTTAAGTCTTGGCCCAAGGCAGGACTCAGCTGGTGAGTTGCTTGACATTAGCACAGGTGTGGCGTGAGAGTGGGGGGGACCTAAAAGGTACTGAAGAAGATGAGTGTTGGTCCTGACCCTGTGTGCCACTATGGCAAGGACCAAAGTCCATCCTGCTAACCTTCCACACCTAGGCTTCCCTAGGAAGAAGCATCTCTAAGGGCTGAGGATCGGCTCCAAAGATTCTAGAAAAAGTGGCTCTGAGTGTGCTACCAGGCACCCCCTCTCTACAAAGTATTCTTTTCCCCTGAGCATCTCCGAGGACTGTCTGCAGGAAACCTGTGGGATCTTCCCCGCCGCGTTTCTGCTGGGCTTCTCCTTCTGAACGTCCACACCAGCGACCTGCCATGGGCTGTTGGAACCCTTTGCCAACACACAAAAAGCTGAATGGTCACAGAAACTCAGATCCCTCTGAGGCCCTTAGACTGACTGCTGTGTGCAGGAGGGTGGATGCATGGTTCCCTTGGAGCAGGCCACTTCTGTGTCATAGACTACACCCCTGCAAACTCCAGGTGAGGCCACTGTCACAGGACTCCACAGATGTCCAGCCCTTGCTGGCTTCTCCCACTCCCTGTACTTCCTGAGTAACTCTCGTGCTCATGAATCCTCAGGCTGGATGGACATCTACAGAGCCTCTATAAATTCTGAGATTTAGCACCTGACCCCGACGTCACTTATGGTGACAAAGGGTCTGGAAAATAGAAACCAGGCTCCAATCCCTAAGTTAGTCAAAAATAGACCTGCCAAGGAGTCCAGATACAATTCCCAACCCCTGCAAACCCATTGGAAATGTACGACGCAGAGCAGTCCAACAGTCTTGACCAAGACGAACAAAACGAGAGGAATCACAGCTCCCGATTCTAAAACTTACTGCAAGAGTGACAGTAATCAAGACACTGTGTCCTGCCATGCAGACAGATCAATGCAGCAGAATGATGAGTCTGTAAATAAGCCCTTTTCTTTATGTTCAATTGATTTTTGAAAATGGTGCCAAGCAATTCAGTGGGGAAAGAATAGGCTTTCAATAAATGTTGCTGGGTGCCTGGATATCCATATACAAGAGGATGAAGTCAGCCCCTCCTTACCTGATACCATGCAGAAAAAGCTCAAAATGGATCACAGGCATCCGTGCAAGGGCTGAAGCTATAAAACACTCAGAAGAAAACCCAGAGTAAATCCTGGTGACCGCAGGCTAAGTGATGTTTCTTAGACTTGACAAAGCAACAAGAGAAGAAACAGACGCATCGGACAGCTTCAAAACCAAAGACCTCTCTCATGCAAAAGACAAAGGACAACATGGCAGGAACCCAGAAGATATGTTATCATCCAAGAAAGATACCCACCTGGCACTGGCAGGGGAGGAAAAGGAGTGAAACATTCCCGGGACTGGTCCCCCAGGGGAAAGACCTTCTAACCCCCAGGGAGGAAGGACAGACACCAAACCAGACATGGGAAGCTCAGAGAACCCCATGCAGGATTAATGCAAAGATTCATACCTGGGAGTACTGCATTCAAACTCAGTGAACCAGTGGCAGAAAAAAATCCTGGGTAGAGCCAGGAAGGGAAAAAAAAATCTCACTTATACAAAAACAAAGAATCACCTCAAGCCAGATGTGATGGTTCATGCCTGTAATCCTAGCTACTCTGGAGACTGAAGCAGGAGGACCATGAGTTTGAGGCCAGCCCAGGCAAAGTTAGAGAGACCCTGTCTCAAAAACAAGCAAAGGACTGGAGGTATAGCTCAAGTGGTAGAAGTTCCTGTCGAGTAAGCAAAAGGCTTTGAGTCCAATCCCCAATACCACACACACACACGCAAAAAAAACCCTCAGACTTCTTATCTGAAACTATGCAAGAAAGAATGGATTAAAAATATTTTTAAAGTATTAAAAAAAACTTACCAACCTAGAATTCTGTATCCCATGAAACTATGTGATGGCAAAATAAAGACACTTTCGGGTGCACAAAGTGTATGGACTGATCACGAAAGAAATGCTGAAAGAAGCTCTTGGGGGGGAAAAGGGAATGACGGGTCAGAGAGGCGGACCTGCATAAGGAGAGGCACCTTAGGACGTAAGTAACGTGAAGTCTTTTATTGCTCCTATTCTTAATTGAGCTAGAACATAACTGCTTAAAATCGTAACACTAGTGATATTTGGAGTGGCTGCAGAACACAGAGGGTGACAGAATGACAGCAGCGTGGTGAGGGAAGAGCTCGCTGGGAGTGCTCCGTGCAGGTGCCTTCGCCAGGCCTGCAGGGACGCTGTTGAAGGAAGACGTAGAAAAGTTAAAGGCATGCCACAGATTCTACAGCAAGTGCTAAAAATGTTTTTAAAAGAAGTTAACTGATGAGCTACGGAAGCAGAATTAGGTAAAGTACCTCCTTATGAAAAGCAGAGATGACAAAAAGGGAAACAGGACAGATACGAGTCACAGTATGGTAGACACTAATCCAACTGTCCGTGTGAATGGTCTAAAACAGGCCGACTACAAGACAGACATTGTCAAGAGTCGACTTTAAAAGATAATCCAGTTTTAAAAGGATTTGAATAGGTATTTGTCCAGGGAAAATGCCCAGTAAATGTCCAAAAAGATGCTCAATACCTTTAGCCAGAGAAATGCAAATCAAAGCCAATGAGCGCTTCATACTTAGTGCAATGGTTCAGAAGCAAACAAAGTGGACAAAACCAAGATTTGGTGAGCGGGCGAAGCGCTCAGGGCCCCCACATGCTGGTGGGATGTAAAATGGCGCAGGTGCTTTGGAACACAGCGTGGGCTCCTACACGATCCCACAGGATCGCTCCTACTGTACACCCAGGAAAAATGAGAGCACGTCCACGTGAAGAGGTGCACAGGAAGGCTCAGAGCAGTGACACAATCCACCCACTGGCGAATGCACAAATGAAGTGTGACAACCCATAAATAAAACACAACACAGAGATGGACACTATTCACCGTGGAAAGGAGCGGAGTATGTCACGTGGAACAACGTGGCTGAGCCTTGCAAACGTCACGTCAAGTGGAAGAAGCCGGTCTCAGGGCTTCTTCTGTATAATCCCTTTTATACTAAATGTCCAGAATGGGCAAGTCTACACAGTCAGAAAGCAGATCAGCGGCCTGGGAGATGGGATAGGAGCAGCTGTCAGTGGGGAGAGGCTTCTTTCTATGACAGAATTCTAAATCGGATCGTGGTGGTGGGTGCAAAACTCCATGAATGTGCTGCAAAACACTGAATTATGTTCATTCACTGAGTGAACTGCATGGTGTGAGTTGCAGCAAAGTGACGCTGTTAATAAGACTTTCTCGGTCTCAAATTCCTAGTTATCCAAGAGAATACTGAGATTTCTTTCCACAGTGATGTCCCACCAAGCATCCCAAGACAAAGCTGAGCCCCCCTCATTAGCAGTGCCTGACCTCACCTATTCTGCACCCTCTGGAGGAGCTCGGTCTGGCCAGCTAGGCTCTGTACTGTCCGTGCCTGGGTTCTCTCATTAGGACATCACCTCATCCTGACTCAGGTTCTACCCACCCCCAAATGTCCTTCTGGGTGGAGCTTAAATATTTAACAGTGAGAAAGCCAAAACCCCAGGGAGAACCCCCAACCATCCCATGCCTCTAAGCCTGGCCCTGAAGTCCTCCACCTGCAATTCCATCCCCAGACACCAGGGGGACCTCAGCGGGCTGGAGAAGGAGAGGCAGGAGCTCCACCCACCAGGGCCTGTGTTGCCCAAAGTCAAGGCACATAGAGGATGATCCCCAGCCCCACATTCCACATTAGTGAGGAGGGGACGGTGCCCAGGAACAACAGATGGCTCACCGGGTCTGGGAGGTTGCTCAGGTGTCAGGGCCCTGGGGCACCCGAGAGCATCCTCCACAGGTGCAGACAGGCCCAAGGGCAGTGTCCAGTCACCACACCGACACTTACAACTGCAGTGCCATCAGCTGTGCTCTGCCACTGTGGGCTGCATTCTGTCTCCCGGAAACACGGTCAGGTCCTAACCCCCACTAGCTGCGAATGTGACTTTTACTTGGAAACAAGGACTGTGCATATGTCACCAACATAAGATGCGGTCACAACGGAGTAGGGTGATATCCTGGTAGGAAGAGAGGAGACACAGGCACAGAGGGAGGAGGCCATGTGACGATGGAGGCAGAGCCTGGAGTGATGCCGCTACCTGCCCAGGAATGCTCAGCCGCTGCCAAAGCTGGAGAGGCAGGAAAGGATTTTCCTTCCCCTTCCCCTTTCCCTTCAGAAGGTGCAAGGACTTATCCACACCTTGATTTTGAACTTGGGCCTCCAGAACCACGAGAGAAAATATTTCTATCATTTCAATCACCTGCTTTGTGGCACCAATATGCTTGAACACTGGCACAGCTGATATCGATGCACCTGAGCACCAACGCACCTGGCACTGATGCAGCTGGGCATCAATACACCTGGATGTGAGTGCACCTGTGCAATAGCGCCCTGGACATCAGTGTACCTGGGCTCCTATGTGTCTGGGCATGGAGCTGAGGGCTTCCCACACGTGACCCTCCACACACTCATAGCCGTGCTCCTGGTGGCCACCGTGCAACCACTTCAGAAGGAGCAAAAGCTCAGGGAAGCTGGGGGAATGGACGAGCTAGGACAGGTGGAATGATGGTCTTGGGTATCCACAGCACCTGGGGAAGGTCATCCATTGAACTCTGCACTGCCCAGAGGCCTTGCAGAATGCCGCGAGAGGCCCCTGGACACCTCACACAGGTGTGAAGATGGCCAGGAAAGCCAGCAGAGCCTGACACTCACCGACTGGGAACTGTCCCTGCTGCTGTCTCGTGATTTGTTCTTGGCCAGCCGCTTTTTCTTCTTGTGCAAGGGCCTGGACTCCAGGATCATCTCCTCCAGCTCAAAGGTGGGGTCGCAGTGCAGGCGGCCTTTCTGTGAAGGGACAGAGGGCTGAGCCCAGCCCACCGGTGCCACCACACCTGGCTGGAACTGCCCATGTGAGTGCACAGGCTTACATTGGGCACGAAGCCTGGCTCCACCTTCTTCTCACTCAGGTCATCCCATAGCACGTTGGCCAGGGATGGGGCCGCCTGCATGTCCTGGAGGCTGGAGAACCGGTGCTCCGGGTTCACGGTGAGTAGCTGCAACGAGGCCCCTGTCAGACAGGCAGCAAGGCAGCACGACCAGACCCACAGAAGAACGCCTACCTGCCCCAGGTCAGGGCAACCCTGGAGATGTCCCCCAAGCCTGAGACTCGAAACTTCAGGATTCAAGGGCCACACAAGGAAAGGTGGCACCAATTTCAGTCAGAGCAAGGTGGTCAGCAGAGTGGTGTGGGCTAAGGTAACCTTTTGTCCTGACTCTCAGCAGCAGCAAAGAACTGCAGGGACATTCTGCCAGGATTCACCAGCAGGTGGCAGCAGAGGTCTGGCTAACGCTCCACGGGCACTCTGCATGGTTAGCCCAACAGTAACTGAGGCAAAGCCACTTCCACCAGGGGAGCCAGGGCAGCTGTGTACAACCAACGCAGCAGGGTCCCCAGGGCTGCTGGGTGCCTCCTGCCAGGCGAGGAGCTGGCCAGGCTAGGAGTCTCCCTCTGCACCCAGGCCTGACCCTGGGCTTGGCTCTCACTCTCCACATTTTTTTGGATGCTCCAGCCATCCTTTTAAAGAATGTCTCTCTAAGTGAGGAAATCCTACAGCCCCCAGGCTTCGCCACAGGTGGAGGCACTGCTGAGGGAAACACCACAGCCCTGTGTCCCTGGCAGGTTGATATTCCCTGTCCTCTCATCTGCTGCAGACAGAGCTCAGGCCCTGGGAGGTGCATGGGGACCTGGACTCTTCTCTGCTTGCTCCCTGTGAAGGTGGTTCAGACCATGTGCACCTATGAGGGGAAGGGCAGGGGCAGAGGATACCAGAGCACAGCATGGCCTTGCACCCAGCCTGGAGCGCCACCCTCCCACACACGGGGTGCAGTTCTCTGCCTCAGTCTGGGCTTTTGTGAAGCGGGTGACAACCAGTCTCCCAGCATAGAGGTTCTCCATGAGGCTCTAATAGATAGCAGTGTGGCGACTGGAATCCTGGCAAGGGCACATGAGAAGCACACAGAGCTTGCTGCTGGAACACAAAATATGCAAGCCCAGGGACCAGACTCACTTTCCAAGTCGCCATCGGGGAAGGTTCCCACCCAGAGAAGAGGCCTGCGGGTGCTGCCATGAGCACCAGGGCATGAGTGCAGGAGGGGTGGACCACCTGGAGATGGGGGAGGAGTGGGGCTCACCTTCCGCAGCAGGGCCACCATCTCCTTGGACCAAGTGGGCACATACTGGACGCTCACAGTGCTGAACAGCTGCACCAAGGACTCCACGGCATTGCTTGAGTGGATGTCATAGGGTCTCTGCAGGTAGGGAGGTGCTGTGCCAGGTTCCTCATCCCCGTCACAACCAGAATCAGGCTTAAGTGCAGGCACCCCGAGAGCCCCCATCTCTCAACCCAAGTGTAGGTTCTGCTCAGAGCCTGGGGAGGAGGCACCTGCACCAGGCTCACCCTACACTAAAGCCCTACATCACCCCCCAGAGGGCCTGGGGCCTGAGTGAGTCAGCCCCAGACGACCAAGAGGGTGCTTTCTTGAGGAGGAGTCCTGTGAGGTGGCTGAGGGGGTGTGGTGCCCCCAAGAGGGGTGGGGATGGCAGTATGAGGCCTGGATGGTACCCAGTCTCTGGCCCCCTAGGGGGAAAAGCCCAGGGAACCTTGTTTGTAGAAGTTCTGGGAATGTCTACCTGCTGGACACCCTGTCTGGTCCACCTAGCAGGGCCCAGGTGCAGGCCCACCAGGAACACCACCACCAACAGCCCACCATGGAACCCAGTTTTACTTCCTCAGGCATTGGTCACCAACCTAGACATTTTGCTAAAAGCATGAATTCTCTTTCATGTTTAGGGGCTGTTTGGAGGCAGCCTTTTCCCTCCCCACCTCTCAGGCCACCCCAGGGCAAGAGAGCAGCCATCTAGGGTCTGGGGGCCAGCAGTGGCCTCAGGGCTCCGTACCCATCCTCGCAGCAGCTCATAAGCCATCACCCCCACTGACCACCAGTCCACCTCGAAGGAGTAGCCGGTCCCACCGTTGACGAAGGAGTGGAAGATCTCTGGAGCTTTTCAACAAAGAGAGAGGAATAGCTGAGCTACTGGGCGCAGGCTGCCATGACATTCAGGCACCTCACCTCGTGGCCAGGCCCCAAGAACAGCTTCCCCCCGCCCAAAATAAATGAGAAGCCCCTGCAGTGTTTCTGTCCTCTCCCACCTGGGGGGGAACCAGCTCCCTTCTAGAACAGCCCCCAGCAGAGAGTACCTGGTATGTGGCCTGACCGCCAGTTCAGCTTCAAGTCCCATGCTTGCTCTGTGTGTGTGTGTGTGGTGTGTGTGTGTGAAAGAGAGAGAGAGAGAGAGAGAGAGAGAGAGAGAGAGAGATGGGGGGTCCTCATCCTTACAGTTCGTGACTCTCAGGCACACACATCAGCCCCATCACCACCACTATGCTAAGACTTTAGGGCTGGGCTTAACCTCAGCGAAGGCCCAACCCTACATGTTGACAAGAGAGTGAGGGCGGAGGCTGGGGGCGTGGCGGTGTGGTCGGAGTGGCATTGGGCTTACCCATGTATGGCTTGGTGCCAGCTAAGGCTGTAGCCCTCTCCCCATCCTTTATGATGGTGGCAATGTTGAAGTCGGTCAGGTGTGCATGTCCTGCGAGGAGAGGACAGGCAACCTGTCCAGGACTGCAGGCATGCCTTTTGTGGGCACCCTCCCCCACGGCTTCCGGGCCTCCTGTCACTCACCCTGCTCATCCAGGAGAATGTTGTCGGGCTTGACATCTCTATGAGGGCACAGGGGGACAGAAACATGCTTGAAACTACGTCATTCCTGCCCCTGCATCACTGGCAGGGCCAGGGGTCCCAAGACACCCCACTGAGGCATTGGCCTGGGAGGTGTGGCTCTATTGTAGGATGATGTGGGGTCCCAGCGGCCCTGGTGAGGGAAGTGGAAGGCTCCTTCTGCTCCATTCTCAGATGGTACGTGGAAAACTGCTGTAGGGGAGTCACCAGCACCCCATCTTCTGATTTCAGGCAGCAGAATTCCCGGGACTGCCCATGGAGGATACCTGCGCCCTGAAGTACCCTTGCCTGGACCCCAGGGCTGTGCAGAAGCACTGGCTCCTGTTTGTCCCTCCCATAATGGCCTCAGTCCTCACTCTGCCCTGACTTCCAGGCACAAAGTTGGCACTGAGTGCCTGCAACACACCTGGCTCACGACCAGACAACGGACTCCTCAGGGACAGACACTGAATCAGATTTATCTGAGTTATAATACACCTCAGAGGGTTTTTCATTTTTGCTCATTTGGCTTCCGAATTTCAGTCTGATTTCTGCTTACTAATTTCACTTGCTTCCAAATCTGTGCCCTAACTTCATTTGCATCCTAATTTCACCTGCTTTAAGCAACTGACAAAATCAGTTTGAAGTCACCAGGACATGACAGATGGGCAGACAGGAGCCTGCAGTTAAACAGACCAGGAAGACTGCCTGTGGCGAGGTCCTATGATCCATCCCTGAGAACAAACAGCCCTCTGTGTCCAGCCTCAAATGGGGTTGATTAGACAGGGCTCCTTCTTCCCCAAGTAGATACCAGGTATGCAGCTATGGGGTTGACCTTGGAGCCAGGCTTTCATTGGCCCAGGTGCTACAGCTGGGGACAAGTCCTCAGGCAAGGGTGGAGCTGAGGAGCCAGCTCGGGCTTTGCTGGAGTGCATGCCTCTCAGCCTGACCAGAGGCTGCTGCTGCCCCGCCTGACCTAGGCCGATGCCTAACCCCATCAGGTGTGCACACACCTGTGGATGATGTGCTGACTGCGCAGGTAGTCAAGGGCCAGCGCCATCTCGCAGATGTACAGCCGCACTGTGTCCTCAGAGAACTGGACATTCTGCTGCAGGTGGTACCGCAGGTCCCCGCCCAGAAGCAAGTCCACCACCATGAACATGTCCTCCTCATCCTGGAAGGAGTACCTGTGGGCATCGAGGAGAACCTGGCATGTGCACAACTGGGGAGCCAGAGGCGTGGCTCCTACCACACCTAACACACGCCCCCCACCCACAACCCCATGCTGCCTGCCATGCCATCATCAGGGTGCTCAGAGCTGTCTGACCCAAGACCCGGGGGGACAGGCAGAACCGTCAAGCCCCTGGAGATGGCCCGGGTTGGGGCCAGAAATGCCTGCGAGTGACAAGTAGAAAGCAGAAACACAGTGCCCACCCTGCATTGTTTCAGGGTGCCCTCATTTCTTCTTCTAAAACTGGGGATAAGAACAGCTGCCTTAGAGCGTTTCAAAGAAGAAAATGACAGTGCGAGTGAAATGATTAACACAGCTGGGCAAGGGCTGGCATTTAATCCCAACAACCATGGCAGTGATGGGAATGGCAGTGATGGTGGCAAATTATGGTGAAGCTGGCGATTGTGGTGAGTACAGTGATAATGGAGTAATGACAATGGCAATGATGATATTGATGGTGGTGGTGGCAGCACTGGTGACTGTGATGATGCTGGTGATGGTGATTAAAATGATGGTGATTATGACTATGGTGATGACAGTGATGGTGAATGTGGTGGTGATGGTGGTGGTGGTGGTGGTGGTGGTGACAGTGGTGGTGGTGACGGTGATGGTGGTGGTGACGGTGGTGGTGGCGGTGATGGTGGTGGTGGTGGTGATGGTGGTGGTGATGGTGGTGGTGATGGTGGTGGTGGTGATTGTAGCAGTGGTGATGGTGGTGGTGATTGTGGTAGTGGTGATGGTGGTGATGGTGGTGACGGTGGTGGTGGTGATGGTGGTGGTGACGGTGATGGTGGTGATGGTGGTGGTGGTGGTGGTGATGGTGATGGTGATGATGGCGGTGGTGATTGTGGCGGTGGTGGTGGTGGTGGTGATGGTGGTGATGGTGGTGGTGGTGGTGGTGATGGTGATGGTGGTGATGGTGGTGGTGGCGGTGATGGTGGTGATGGTGGTGATGGTGATGGTGGTGATGGTGGTGGTGGTGATGGTGATGGTGATGATGGTGGTGGTGATTGTGGCAGTGGTGATGGTGGTGGTGGTTATAAGACTGATGGTAGCCATAGCAGATCAGCACTTTGACTTCCTTCCACTTTGCAGTTGCTTTTGTGAACGCTCAAAGCTAACTCTAATTTTTAAATGGATTGACTCTTTCATGAAGAAAGTCACAAATAACTCATTTTTCCATATGATGTCCCTTTACCTGCCCTCAAAAGCCACCCTGTCTCATCCTCAATGAAGGAGTCACAGAGCAAAGGGACTCAGGTGCTAAGCTCCAGGAGGGGACTAGGATCCTGGAGAGCAGCAGACAGGTGGCTTCCTGTACCTGAAGGCAAAGTTACAATGGTCCTATGCTGCATGACCCTGGATGGCAGGAGATATCGCAGTGTGCCAGCCTGTGGGGACGGAGTGCCCTACAGCAGGAAGGAAGGCAAAGCAGCCAATGGCTCGCAGCCCGAGGCTGAGTGCTTTGCCATTAGACACCTGCACGGTTGCAGACGGCAGTACTGGGAACCACCCCACTCTGCTCCACAGTAAGGGGCTGAGGGCAGGGAGGTTAGGCATGTACACAGCAGAGTGGATTCAACCCAGGAGTCTATGCACCTGACCACTAGACCACATCGCATCTCAGGCAGCCCAGGAAGGGCAGGGGAAGGGTTGGACTCCAGAAGAGGGAAACCCAGGGTCTTCTTTTTCTCAAGAAGCCTCGCTGCCCACACTGTATTCCCGTGGGGGTACAAGCCAGGCCCCGCTGGAGGGTAAGCTCCACTCCCCCACTGACCCAGACAGGCAGTAATCACTTGCCTGCAAGGGTAAGTGTCTGACCTCCCTGGCCCCAGAGTGGCAGGTCAGGTTTAAGGGGTTCTTGGCACTTGGACACCCCTAACTTTTCAATGTTGCTAAAGGATGCTGGAGACAAGGTCAGCTTGGAAATTAGCTGGCCATGAGAGCCTGGGACCTCCATGAGTAATGACGGTAGCCACGAACAGATGGAGCCAAGACCGTGACGCAGTCAAGGGATGAGTAGCTCTTCATGCTCCAGCCTGTCAATCTGTGTGACCTGGGCTCCAGCAGACTCAGGCCCGTGGCCTTGATCAGCAGTACCATCTTGGCCCAGCCTCCTGGGCAGCCAAGCTCCAGCCACAGCTCTGCCCAGCACCTGTCCCGTCACTGTGAAGCAGAGGCACTTGACACCATTCCTGCACCATGCCAAGGGGCCTCTGTCACTTTGAAGTCTCTTGTTCTATTGTGGTTGCACCAGGTAAACACCCAGGTGGGAGGCAAGTCTGGACTCCAAGCAAGTCCCTGCCCTAACAGCTGCTCCAGGTTCATTGTCAAATGGAATACTCTTGCTCTGTATTACCTCACATGGCAGTAGGACTGCCTCTTCCTGTACCTCTGTAATGAACACCTACACCTCCCAAAGGCTGCTCAGCCAAAGCTCAGGAGCTCAGGACTCCCCTGACCCCCACTGCTAGGAAGCCTGTGCTCCACAGAGCCTTTGGGAACCATGCCCATCTTGAAGCAAGTCACAGAGCACTGGGCCCACTATGGGAGGCAGTCAGGGAGGATCCTGAGTGAGAGAGGACCCCTGAGTGGGGGGGTATATCTGAGAGGAGAAAGAGCCCTGAGTGGGGGAGGACCCTGGGTCAGGGATGACCCTAAGTTAGGGAGTACCCTTGGGTGGGAACAGGCCCCTGGGTTTGGAGGACCCCAGAGTTAGAGAAGACTCTGGGTCAGAGAGAGGTCTAAGGCAGCCTGCAGGTTCCTGCACCTCTTGAAACTGGCCTTGGAGCTCATTTTTTTTGCAGGCAACTGAAGGTCATCCCCTAAACTGTGTCTTCAATGCCACAAGCCCTGTGGGAGGGGCATTTCCATTGCAGTAGGTCTTGGACTTCCAGCAGACCCTGGGGAGATGCTGCATTAGCCCCAGCATACTATGAGCTGGCCCTGGGCACAGGAAATGAGAGTTGATGAGGAGGGGCACAGAGAGCGTGAAGGGGTCAAGGCATCCCAGAGGCCTGGGAGCCAGAGAGCAGCAGGGAGGGGCTGGGCTGCCCAGGCAGAAGGGGGCAAGTCCCTGTACAGGGAGTGTCGCTGGCAGGCCTGTGGGGTGACTCACCAGAGGTTCACCAGGAAGACATGCTCAATCTCTTGCAGGATCTCCAGCTCCCGGAATACATTGCGGACCTCGTCACGCTCGATGCACTGCTGCTTGTTCATGTATTTCATGGCATACATCTTCTCTGTGTCCCGCTTCTGCACGATGCACACCTGCAGGCAAAGGCCTTTCAGTACCACACCTGGAGCAGACCGTCACAGCCCCCTCCACCTCCAATGCAACACTGAAAGGACCAGGGTTTCCAGCCAGCAAGGGGAAGGCTATGAACAGTATCTTCTGCAGGACCGAGCCACAGAGCACCCAAACATGAGGCAGAGCCACGCTGGGGGCTGGCCCAGATGAGGGGCACTGCTCTGGTGCCTGATCCCCTCACCAGCCACAACCTCAGCAAGTGGACCCACCTCCCAGAGTCCCAAAAGCCCCTTCTAGGGCCTATATATGACGTGTGCCTTAGGGGACACTGGGGATGGATGAGACAATACACTTAACACAGAGCCCTGCACTCAGGAAGCCCTCATCAACCACAGAGCCGTGGTTCCCACTGTAACAGGGACCATCTGCAATGACAGGGTCCCTGCACAGCCCTGAAGGTGCAACGCCATCTGAGTTTTCAACTGTCAGTGTCAACCAGCAGGGCTGGCATTGCTAACACACTGCTAATTGCTTGGCAGAAAGCAGGGAAAGGAGAGAGAAGCACAAAGTGGGTGGGAAACACAGCTGGGGGTCCCTTGTGGCCATGGAGTGTCAATCAGAAACAAGGACAAAGATCTCCAAAGGGAAACTAGGAGTTAAGGCACAAAATCAGGGCTGCAGAGCCAAACCCTACCTATAAGTCACAGAGCCTAAGACAGGTGACCCAGGCAACAAGAGCCATTTCCCATCTTCACAGAGCATGAATCTGGGGGTCCTGGAAGAAGTGGATGATTCTGGAACTCAAGGTGAGTGAGTGGCTCCCAAGTGCCTCACCCAAAGGCAGGTGGCCTGGAGCTGACCAGACATCTCAGTGGTGTCAGTTCCTGACCAAACCTCTGGATCTACCTCTTAGGGGAACTCCACGTTCCCTCTCATGGGAATGTACTTCGGATGAAAGCCCTCTGTGTGTAAAGCTGGTCACCACAGTGCTATGTGCAGCAAACTTCCCAACACTGGGACATCCAGCAACCTCCTGGGTGTGGATGACTATCACACAACCACTGATGTGACATTCACAGGATTTATAATGATAAGACTTTTAAAATGCCCAGCGTGAACACTAAGTAAGCTATGCAGCATAAGCTGTGTAGAGTAATACACCAAAATGTGCAGAAACTGGAAGTGAGCCTGAAAATGAAAGCAGCCCCCGTGCAGGGGAGCCCCAGACACTTCCTGGCTATGGTTTCTGTCACGTTACTCTGAGGTGTCACTTGCTAAAGATCCTCCCACATTGTTAGTGCCGGGGTTGCCCAGTGGTTGCTGGTCTTCAAGGGTTTCTGGATGTGGCATTGGAGAACCTTCTCTTGGCTGGAGCCCTCTACATCCCTCTTTCATCCAGAGATGCAACCTTCGTAACCATGGCTGCAGTCTCCAAGGTAACACCATGCACACCAGCACCTTGCCCACAGGCTGAGTCTGAGGGATGATACCAATAGGACACAGGGAAGATCTGGCCACTCCTCAGTTCTCAAACTCAGCCAGGTCCCTGTGTAGGCCACTAGGACCCCCAAAAGCTCTGTCTGAAACTGGGCTGATGAGCTGGGGGCTCACCCTCCATAATCATCACTTCCTTCCTCCCCAGACTCCCCCACCTCAGTACTGCACTGCCCTGGAGGTACTGAGGCTCAGGGAACAGACCCACGGAGCAGGGGCAGGTGCAGGGCTGCAGGGGGCACACAGAGAAGAGGTCCTGGTGTCAGGGTGGGGGAAGGGAGTCATGACCAATGTCCTGTCCTGCTCTTGCTGCTAGCCCCTGCTTCGCAACCAAAACCTTTCCCACAGGTAAGGGGCAGAACACTTCCTGTCTCTCTGATCCAAGAGGAATGGGCGGGGCTCTGTGGAAGGAGCTTTGTCAGGAAGCATGGCCACCAAGTGGGGCTTGGGTCTGGGCAGAGTGTCTATGGTGAGGCAGTAACTGCCACACTTAAGGCTCCTCTGTGGGACCATCATGCTGACCAGTTGAGGCAAGAGGCCAGGAAGAAGCTGAGCAGGTGCCCAACATCCACTCACATTCAGTTGTCTTACATTTGCCTGTCCGCTGCCCTGGCTGTTGAGGCCACGTACAGTAGGAAGGGTGTCTGGGGGACTTCAGTTGTCCGAGGCCAGCCCTATCACCCATGGCTTCGCTCTCTAATCAGAGGGCACCTGGCCTCCTCCCTGAAGCCTGGCCACTCCACTGGCTGTCCGGTGGCTTCTGTCCTCCACTGACCTTGTTTCCTCATCTGCTGACAGGAGCACTGGCTAGGTAATGTGGCATTACAAGCTCTCATGACCAGGGTAAAGTCCAGGCCTCGGGATCCTAGAGTCCACCCAGGGCTCTGTCCCCTGTGGTCAGCTGAATAACAGCTCCAAGGATGTCCACGTCCTAATCCTTCGAGCCTATGACTATGTCACCTGACATGGTAAGAGGACTTTGCAAGAGGCTGAGGACACTGAGCTAGGAGATAACCCTAGATTGTCTGGGGACCCTAAGTGCGGCCATGTGTGTTCATTCAAAGGGAGATCAGAGGCAGAGACAGTGTGACGACTGATACTGCACTGTGGCCTTGAGGACAGAGGAAGTGGCCACACACCATGGCTGGTGAGAAGCTGGCGAAGAAGGAGGCTTCTCCCCTAGAGCCCTGGAGGGAGCACAGCCTGTATCACCTGATGTCAGCCCAGGTAAACTGAGTCCAGATTTCTGGCCTCTAGAACTATAATGTCCACTGCCTTAAGCCATCTAGTTTGTGGTCATTTGTTGCAGTGCCCACAGGAAACGAATGTGTGGACCCAGCACTTTGGGTGTCTTGAGAGACTCAGAGGTGAGCATCAGTGTTGGTGACAGATATCCACCTGTGTCACGAGACACTCACTTCCCAAGCTATCAAGACTGCTTTGAGGAGTAATGGGCTGCCAGGCTCTGGTGGAGCCATACAGAAAAGAGCCCACAAAGACTAGAAGACCTCTCATCCACAAGGCACAAATTTTAGGGCAGTAACACTTCTTGTGAAAAAAAAAAAAAGCCAGAAAGTTGTCCCCAAGATAGCTACAGGTCTCCCTGGCTAGTTGTCATGGCATGGGGATATAGAACCTGCCAAGAAGGCCTTGGACAGTTAGGTTTAACTTGTGCTTTTCTGTGTCCCTACAACCTCCCAACAAGTCCCCAGATGATCACACATGCTCTGGAAACCTTCTTTCTGGGGACTTCTCAGTCTGTGTCAAGAGACCTTGGTAGAAGATCCAAGAGTCCCAAAGGGAAGCTGTAGGCCAGCCACAGAGGGACAGATGGGGCTGCCCCAAGGGCTCCTGGACAAGGGTCAGGAAGAACCCCAGGACCTCAGAATACCTTAATGCCATCCCCAACGGTGCTCTCAGCAGCTCTCAGCCTGTGTGGGGGCCCTGGGAGCTGTCTGAGTGGCCCTGACACCAACCACACTCCCCGGGTGACCTCGTAGGCAGCACTGTCCAGCTCCAGTGTCACAGAGCAGGCTTGTAGCCAGGAGTGGGGAGGTCAGATGACAGCATGGTCACCTGCTGTGGATGGACACCCTGGGGTATTAAAATGGAGTTACTACAGACTTCAGCCAGAAATACAATAGAATGCTCCAGTGCTGAGACGGAAGGCCACACACCTCATGCAGAAACATCACCTAAGTCCTGCCCCCGTAAAAGCAGTGACTCCCTCCACCAGTCAAATGCAAGTGGAACACCACCCATGTGACGACCTCTCTCTCACCACCCTGAGCCCTAGCACAGAATCACAAGCCACCCTCAGGCTTGGCTCCGGTCCAGAGGCTCCATACCGTCTCCCAGTCCCCTCTCCTTGGCTGTCACGGCACCCGTCATCCCATGGGAGAGTTGGTCCTGGTGTAGGACATTTCATGTGTGTAGTAAATACTCATGAGCAAAGTCTCTGGCTTAAAATGTCTTCAAAAGATCACGACTAACACCACCTGAGCACCAGGCAACTTCCAAGGAGACCCAGGAACCTCACCCTCACGTCCTCTTCCTCTCTACTGGTGACCGCCAATCTGACAGAAGGCATTGCCTACAGACCTGGATGTGGTTGCTGGAAGCTTCTTTGTCACCCAAGGTTCTCTGCACCATCCAAAGAGATTCTGCAGGGTTGCCCTGTTTAACTGCCGAGCAGGGCTGGACTCCCCACCCTCCATGCACATACACACACACTGGCCCCTGGACCAGGTCCTCTGGCATCAGACTTCCCTGCCCCAGGGAGTTGGTTACAAGATGGGGTTGCACTCAGCTTGGCTCTTGGCTGAGTGTCCAGGCTGCTCTTGGGCTTCCACCTGTGGGTTCGGCTATCTTCCCTGAGCCCCTGACCAGACTCCAAGGGCCAGACGGTGTCATCCCCATAGGTTCCGAGAACACTGAAACAGGTGATTCTCGAGCTACCGCTATCCCTCCCTGCCTCAAGGTCCCTGATGCTGCCTAAAGACTTTGCACCAAGGACATTTTTAGGTGTCTGCATGTGCACTGCCACCTTCCCCAGCAAGTGGAGAACATTTTGAGTTATCTGCAGGTGCCCAACAGAGACAGGCTAGCAATGCAAGGAAAACTGCAGGACCTGGACAGTGGTGGTTCACAGGACCGGCAGGCCCTGGATGACTGTGATAACTGTAGGACCCAGGGACCCATTTGTCCTACATTAAGCAAAGCAGGGTGTGATGAGTAAACCAAAACCGCAGGCACACACCTGTTGCTGCCCATTCATGCCCAGATGTCAGCCTCCATTCAACATCTGTGGTCAAAGTATAACACAGAGTTTCAAGGAAGTCTTGGAAAGTTCCAAACACCGGCTGCATCTGCTTCTTGGGCCTGCTGAGGGCAGGGGTCCTGCAGCTGAGCAGAGGCAGTAATGACCACTGTAGAACCAGAGCATGGAGCTGTGTTCACTTCCTGTGACCGTACCACGACTGGCCACACACTCAGTACTTAAACAGCACAGACTTACATCCTGCAC